AATGACTGAGTGATTTTAAACAAAAACGAATGAGTGGATGGATGAATGAGTGGATGGATGAATGAGTGGATGGATGAATGAGTGGATGGATGAATGAGTGGATTGAACGAGTAGTTAGGTGAGCGAGCGAGTGACTTGACACGAGGCCTGCTAGCAACACCCCAACACAGCTCAATGTATCAACAGCGTCACGGCCGGCCACGACTACTGCTACGGCTATGAACTACTCCTACCCACCATCACCGGATCTCGGTGATGAATCATCTCAGATGGCGATTCTCCGGATTGCCAGGGGGTCACAGCGGGACAAGATTCAGGCTCACGGTCATTAATTTTACTTTCAAAATTTCCCCAAATCCTCGGAATTGCCAAGGGGATGGTGCGTGATTTCCTGGGTAACCCCCCAACCATCTCTCTTCCTTCCCACTCCCCCCACCACGTTGCCCTCCCCCCTCTCCCCTCCTAAGCCCTCCTTCTGTTTACAGCCATGCTGAGCCATCGGTGGGAAATTCCACATTCCTTTAGCGTGGACGGGTCTATCTATAGCAGCGGTCGGGAACCTGTGGCTCGCGAGCCATATATGGCTCTTCCGGTGACGGCATATGGCTCCCAGACAATTTTGAGTTGAAAAAAAAATAATAACAAAAATCAGTTTGGAACTGATTTTAAAATACTTGTGATATTGCTTAATATAGTGTGTCATTTTAAAGTAAACAGAAGTTAGTTTTGAAGATAAATGTCATGGGTCACGGGTCCCGTGACCAGAAGTCGCATTAAAAGTAAGACATATTTAATTTATTATACGTTAAAATACTATATGGCTCTCAATGAAAGATATTTAGAAATATTTGGCTTTTATGGCTCTCCCAGTCAAAAAGGTTCCCGACCCCTGATCTATAGGATAACTACTCGGGAGAGGCGGTGGGGGGTCATGTATCACTCGCCACTGACATTAGCTCTGGCCAGGAATCGAACTGAGGATGTAGCATTGTTATAGCAAGATGTATGATGATCTTTTGGAATGTGCGTGTTCTCTCTCTCGCTCTCTCTCTCTCTCTGTGGTCACGTGGTTTTAATTCGGGGCCTGCTCACTCACACACCCACTCACCCACCCACCCACTCACCACCAAGTCATCCACTCACCCACTCACACACTCACCACCCACACACCCACCCACTCATCCACACACCCACCCACTCATCCACACACCCACTCAACCACTTATCCACTCACCCACCCACACACTACCCACTCACACACTCACCCACTCATCCACACACCCACCCACTCATCCACACACCCACCCACCCACTCAACCACTTATCCACTCACCCACCCACACACTACCCACTCACACACTCACCCACTCACCCATCCGCTCACCCACTCACCCATCCGCTCACCCACTCACTCACCCACCCACCCACTCACCCATCCACTCACCCACCCACCCACTCACCCACCCATCCAATCACCCACCCACCCATTACACACTCACACACTCACCCACTCACCCACTCACTCACCCACCTATCCACTCACCCATCCACTCAGCCACCCACTCACTCACTCACACCACTCATCCACTCACCCACCCACCCACTACCCACTCACACACTCACCCACTCACTCACCCACCCACTCACCCATCCACTCACCCACCCATTCACTCACCCACCCAGTCACCCACCCACTAACCCATTCACCCACACACCCACCCATCCACTCACCCAACCACCCACACACTCATCTACCCACTCACCCACACACTCACCCACCCACTACCCACTCACACTCACCTTCTCACCCACTCACTCACCCACCCACCCACTCACCCACCCATCCACTCACCCACTCACACACTCACCCACTCACCCACCCACTCACCCACCCACCCACTCACTCACGAACCCACTCACCCATCCACTCACCCACCCACCCATCCACTCACCCACTCACTCACCCACCCACCCACTCACCCACCAATCCACTCACCCACTAACACACTCACCCACCCACTCACTCACGACCCACTCACCCACCAATCCACTCACCCACTCACTCACTCACCCATCCACCCACTCACCCATTCCTCTCTCTGCTTATTCCCATGCACTGCTCCACTTGAGCAATTCCCGTCTCGTCTCTCTTTCCCTCTCCCCTGCCCCGGCAAAAAAATAACTCGTTCAACTCAAGACGCGAGTGCTGTTTGTTGCTGGTCTCTTGGCACAGTGGGCTGGTGGGGTTCGGGGGAGGAGGGGTGCACTTTGCAGCCGTGAGAAAGACTCCAGATCAACAAATCAAAAAGAATCCGAGCTCAACCACCACCAACCCCCCAAGCCCATAGAGAGACAAACGCAGGAAATGACCCATTTCCCCACAACAAAATATGACGACAAATGAATCTTTAGACGCCAGGAAGATGAGAGAGAGAGACACGCAAAGTCCAAATCTACAGCAGCAGACGTAGTCAGGGTCGGGATCGAACCCGCGACCTCTTGTACACCAGGCGAGGTAGTTAACATCTCCTAGCCACCGTGATGATGATGAGAGAGAGAGACACGCAAAGTCCAAATATACAGCAGCAAACGTAGTCAGGGTCGGGATCGAACCCGCGACCTCCTGTACACCAGGCGAGGTAGTTAACATCTCCTAGCCACCGTGATGATGATGAGAGAGAGAGACACGCAAAGTCCAAATATACAGCAGCAGACGTAGTCAGGGTCGGGATCGAACCCGCGACCTCTTGTACACCAGGCGAGGTAGTTAACATGTAGTGTATAGTGGTGTAGTGTATAGTGGTGTAGTGTATAGTGGTGTAGTGTATAGTGGTGTAGTGTATACTGGTGTAGTGTATAGTGGTACGAGTAGTACGTGTATACGCTTTGTCTGCCGAGCGTCACGTGATCACAACTGATATACGAGTGCTTTGGATTATAAGCACGTTTCAGGAATGAATTATGCTCGCAATCTAAGTCTTAACTGTAATCATATAATAAAAACAAGCTTGAGCCTTCCCGCCCACCACAATTAGACACCGATTATCACGTGCCAAGTCTGCATGAAGCACACGTGCCGAGCAGTAAAACCATTCGAACACACGCAAACTGCTTGAATTCATCTTCTTGGTTCTTTCGGCAAAGTCACGTAGAATGGAAATAATAAAATAATAAAAATAAAACATAATAAAATTATTTTAAAGCTTTCGTGACTGCAGGGATTCATCTTCGTGGTTCTTTCGGTAAAGTCACGTAGAAGGGAAATAATAAAATAACAAATATAAAACATAATAAAATAATTCTCACGACGTTTCGGCCACAACGCAAGCAGCCGTCCGCAGGTAGGAGAACAGGTCTGTCGAGAAGACATACCTGTTTATTATTTTATTATTTCCAATCTACGTGACTTTACCGAAAGAACCAAGAAGATGTCCGTTTGCTCTTTGAGGATTATGGGTTGAGGGTGGGGGGGGGGTGATTGCTTGTGCTGAGTCTACCCCCCGGGTGAGCGGGTGACTAAAGGAGGAGATTGGGGGTGACTATTCACCCGCTCACCAACTCACTTTTGGCGACAAACCCCGGCCGCATGGGTTCGATTCCGGGACGCAGGGGTGAAGCATCGTCGGTGCCTCCTATTCAGGCCACGCGCTTTAAATGAGTGGTGTGTAATAAGTCAGCGCTTGGGGAGACAAAGGCGGCCGGGTGTGCAGTTCACCACACTGACGTCGCCCCAAATTAGCGCGCCGTGGCGGGCCTTAATAGGTGCTCGCTAACAGCACTTGCTTCAACAGTCTGTATAATGGATTTTATGTTGTGTGCGCGTGCGTACGTGTGTGTGTCTGTCTGTGTTTGTCTGTGTGTGTGTGTGTGTCTGTGTGTGTGTCTGTGTGTGTGTGTCTGTGTGTGTGTCTGTGTGTGTGGGTGTGTGTCTGTGTGTGGGTGTGTGTCTGTGTGTGTGGGTGTGTGTCTGCGTGTGTGTCTGTGTATTTGTGTGTGTCTGTGTGTCTGTGTGCGTGGGTGTGTGTCTGTGTGTGTGTCTGTGTGTGTGTCTGTGTGTGTGGGTGTGTGTCTGTGTGTGGGTGTGTGTCTGTGTGTGTCTGTGTGTGTGTCTGTGTGAGTGGGAGTGTGTCTGTGTGTCTGTGTGTGTGTCTGTGTGTGTGGGTGTGTGTGTGTCTGTGTGTGTGTCTGTGTGTGTGTCTGTGTGTGTGGGTGTGTGTCTGTGTGTGGGTGTGTGTCTGTGTGTGTGGGTGTGTGTCTGCGTGTGTGTCTGTGCATCTGTGTGTGTGTCTGTGTGTCTGTGTGCGTGGGTGTGTGTCTGTGTGTGTGTCTGTGTGTGTGTCTGTGTGTCTGTGTGTTTGTGTGTCTGTGTGTGTGGGTGTGTGTCTGTGTGTGAGTGGTAGTGTAGTGGTTAGCGCTACGCTGCGCTACGAACCTGACGACCTAGGTTCGATTCCCGCTCACGGCCAACACCGGTGACGATTATCCGAACCGGTTTCTGGGCCTCCCCTAGGTCGACTCAGCCTCAAATGAGTGCATGGTGCGGTGTGTAGTAAACATCGCCACTGGGGAGACAAAGGCGGCCGGGCGTGGTGCTGGCCACCCACCCCCTCGTGTGCCGTGCCGGCCTTCATAGCTGCTGCTCGCTAACAGCACTTGCCCCGACAGTCTGCTAAGGCTACACGGGGGATCTTTGTCTTTGTGTGTGTGTCCACAGAAGTTGCTCACGGAGTTGCTGTACTGCCTCAAGTACAGCACACTCGGAGGTTCCCAGGAGAACTTGAGCGAGGAGATACTCATCTACCTGGAACAGGTGACACTCACAAAGACCTCCTCCACAGCTCATTATCATCATCCTCAAACGTGAGCCTTATACTCTTTGGTTGTTTCGGTAAAGTCACGTTGGAAAAAAGAAAAATTGAATGAAAACAACTGAAATAAATTTCGATTTAAAGCTTTCGTGACTGCGGGGATTCATCTTCTTGGTTCTTTCAGTAAAGTCACGTAGAAGGGAAGTAATAAAATAATAAAAAATAAAACATTATAAAATACAATTCTCACGACGTTTCGGCCACAACGCAAGCAGCCGTCCTCAGGTGAAGACCAGGTCTGTCGGAAAGACAGCGTCTGAATGAGCACCACCATGCTTGGCAGCACATCGTGAGAATTGTATTTTATTGTTTTATTTTTATTATTTTATTATTTTCCTTCTACGTGACTTTACCGAAAGAACCAAGAAAACTGAAATAAAATTAAATCAAATCACGACGTTTCAACAACAGCTTGTCCTCACCTGATGAAGGATGCTTGTGTTGTGCCTGAAACGTCGTGATTTAATTTAATTTTAGTTTTGAATTAAAGCTTTCGTGACTGCAGGGATTCATATTCTTGGTTCTTTCGGTAAAAGTCACGTAGAAGGGAAATAATAAAATAATAAATATATAAAACAATAAAATTCTCACGACGTTTCGACTGCAACACAAGCAATCATCGTCAGGTGTAAAATCCACAGCAAGAAAATTTGAAACAAGTGGCGTTTTCTTCTTAACTTAACTTTTTACAAATTATCTTGCTGTGGATTTCACACTTGATGATGATTGCTTGTGTTGCAGTCGAAACGTCGTGAGAATTTTTATTGTTTCATATTCATATCATTTTATTATTTCCCTTCTACGTGACTTTACCGAAAGAACCAAGAATATGAATTCCAGTTGTTTTCATTCTAATTAAATTTTATTTATTTTAAAAAATTTCACCCACGTAACTTTACCGAAAAAAAAACAGGGCATGAATCCTCGCAGTCACGAAAACTTCCAATCTAGAACAAAATAAATAAGTGTACTGCAACAACAACAACAACAACGCGAATGCAGAACGTGTTGGGGTGGGTGTGGAGGGGGTGGAATATTTCGATTTAAAGCTTTCGTGACTGCAGGGATTCATCTTCTTGGTTTTTTCGGTAAAGTCACGTAGAATGAAACTAATAAAATAATAAAAATGAAACATAATTATTTCATCATGTTTTATTTTTATTATTTTATTACTTCCCTTCTACGTGACTTTACCGAAAAAACCAAGAAGAAGGGGTAGAATATGTTTCTTATCGTGAGCCAGGCTCCCTCCACTGCTTAGTGCAGGCCTCTTGCAAAGCCGTAGCGCTGTTGACGGCACGTGGCGTGTGAGTGATCCATGCCTCGCTGAGTCTTTGCCGGGAAGTCGGGGATTATTTGGAGCCCCATTGACATCCAGTGATGATTTATTTAGGGCCGTCCATAAATGACGTCACGCGATTTTGGACGATTTTTGACCCCCCCACCCCCCCCCCCCCCCTTCGTCACACGGCATCACGAAAAGTCAACCCCCCCCCCCCCCCTGTAAAATATGACGTCACAAAGCTCTGCCCCCCCCCCCCCCCCCCCCCAAAAAAAATCTATTAAACATGCTTCAAATCGCTTTAAACTATTGTAGTGCGTATTTAATGTGGCGCTGCACTCTGATGTTGTAGGAGAAAACATTTATGAAAAAGTCAATTCAGACGCTGTCTCCCCGACAGACCTGTTCTTCACCTGAGGACGGCTGCTTGCGTTGTGGCCGAAACGTCGTGAGAATTGTATTTTATTATGTTTTATTTTTATTATTTTATTATTTCCCTTCTACGTGACTTTACCGAAAGAACCAAGAAGATAGAACGTATATTTACACCATTGGAACCTCATTTGTCAGTTAAAAAATATGATAATTGTTTTTTTTACCCTTCTATCTGGCAACAAAACTGACACCTTTTTTACAAGGAGTCATGTTTGCATAGACTACACTACCTGCAGCCATAATGCAAACAAAAAACATAACGCTGATAATATATATTATATAGTGCATATATTATCAGAGTTATGTTTTTTGTTTGCATTATGACTGCAGGTATTGTGGTCTATGCAAACATGACTCCTCGTTAAAAAGGTGTCAGTTTTGTTGCCAGATAGAAGGGTAAAAAAACCATTATCAAGATAGAACGTGTTGTCTATATTTATTTAAAGTTACCCATTTTGATGTGACGTCACGCTTCTCACCCCCCCCCCCTCGTCACACATCGTCCCAAACGTCTGACCCCCCCCCCACCCTTTAGGTGCGTGACGTCATTTATGGACGGCCCCTTTTTTGGGATTGGGGGTAGGTGGGGCTACGAGTCAGAGGCAACTAGAAAAGCCAAAGCAAACCCAGGAGGCGGGGGTGGGGAGAGGGGCAAGGGGTGACACTCAAATCTCCGCACGGATGGATTCAATAATCTATTGCTATCGCTGCGAGTCGGGGTTCACGTATTTGTAATTGTACCACTCGCAGTCCCAGAAAACAACAAGTATAACCCGTAAAAACAAAGTTTTTCACTATAAATACTTTATATGCGTGGCGGCTAGAGTCCTCTCGTCCTCTGGCTTGAGATGTAAATAATTTTGTTTTGCCTAATAAGTGTCAAATTTTGGGAATTTTTTTTCACGAACATTAATTGTCACGCACAACGAGTCTGTGTGCAAAATGTCAGCTCGATTGGATCACGGGAAGTGGGTTAAAAAACGACCGAAAGATTTGCACGGTCGTAAGCGCGCAAGCAAGCACGCAAGCACGCAAGCAAGCAAGCGAACTTAATATAAAGGATTTAATAAGTATAACCCGTAAAAACAAAGTTTTTCACTATAAATCCTTTATATGCGTGGCGGCTAGAGTCCTCTCGTCCTCTGGCTTGAGATGGCTGCCACCTATGGGTCAGATGATTGTCTGCCAGTATTAAGCAATTGGTAATTAAATATTTAATTTGTTTTCCCTAAACGGTGTAACATTTTGGAAGAAAAAAAATTCACGAACATTAATTGTCTCGCACAACGAGTCTGTGTGCAAAATGTCAGCTCGATTGGATCACGGGAAGTGGGTTAAAAAACGACCGAAAGATTTGCACGGTCGTAAGCAAGCAAGCAAGCACGCAAGCACGCAAGCAAGCAAGCGAACTTAATATAAAGGATTTAAAAGTAAAACACGCACAGTCAGCGAATTCCACCTCCTGCATTAACATTCGCAACCCAGGGCAACGATGACCTGTCGTTTTGCTCCACGTACTTTGTTATGTAGGGTGTGTGTGTGTGCGTGTGTGTGTGTCTGTGCGTGTGTGTGTGAGTGCGCGTGTGTGTGCGCGTGTGTGTGTGTCTGGGTGTGTGGGTGTGTGGGTATGTGTGTGTGCGCGTGTGTGTGTATGTGCGTGTGTGTGTGCGTGTGTGTGTGCGTGTGTGTGTGTGTGCGTGTGTGTGTGCTCGTATCTGTGTGTGTGTGTGTGCGTGTCTGTGCGTGTGTGTGCGCGTGTGTGTGTGTGTCTCTGTGCGTGTGTGCGTGTGTGGGTGTGTGTGTGGGTGTGTGGGTGTGTGTGTGTGCGCGTGTCTGTGTGTGTGTGCGCGTGTGTGTGTCTGCGCGTGCGTGTGTGTGTGTCTTTGTGCGTGTGTGTGTGGGTGTGTGTGTATGCGCGTGTGTGGGTGGGTGTGTGTGTGTGCGCGTGTGTGTGTCTGCGCGTGCGTGTGTGTGCGTGTGTCTTTGTGTGTGTGTGCGTGTGTCTATCTGTGTGTGTGCGTGTGTATGTGCGTGTGTGTGCGTGTGTCTATGTGTGTGTGTGCCTGTGTGTGTGTGTGCGTGTGTCTATGTGTGTGTGTGCGTGTGTCTGTGTGTGTGTGTGCGCGTGCGTGTGTGTGTGCGTGTGTGACAAAGGCGGTCGGGCGTGGTGCTGGCCACCCACCCCCTCGTGTACCGTTCCGGCCTTCATAGGTGCTCGCTAACAGCACTTGCCCCTACAGTCTGTTAAGGCTATACGGGGGATCTTTGTCTTTGTGTGTGTGGAGCCGGTAGTGTAGTGGTTAGCACGCTGTGCTACGAACCCGGCCACGCGGGTTCGATTCCCGCTCACGGCCAAACACCGGTGACGATTTATCTGAATCTGTCGTGTGCCTCCGCTAGGTCGACTCAGCTTCAAATGAGCACATAATGCGGTGTGTAGTAAACATCGCCACTGGGGAGACAAAGGCGGCCGGGCCATGGTGCTGGCCAACCACCCCCTCGTGTGTGCCGTGCCGGCCTTCATAGGTGCTGCTCGCTAACAGCACTTGCCGCAACAGTCTGCTAGAGGCTACACGGGGGACCTTTGTCTTTGTGAGCGAGTGATGTGGTCAGCATCCAAGCAGCAGCAGCAGCAGCATGGGCATCATCGCTGAGAAAACTTTGCAAGACACCCTCCCGATAAAATCAACGAGGGGTCATGGTGGTTAATTTTTTCCTGGGTAATCAAGGCAAGTTGGGATACTTTGGACCCTTCAAAGTTAACGGATACTACTAATAAGAAGAAGAATTAACTAGTTATCTCGATTTAAAGCTTTCGTGACTGCAGGGATTCATCTTCTTGGTTCTTTCGGTAAAGTCACGTAGGTAAAAAATTTAAATGATACTGCAAATCTGGCTGTGACGGTCCCACCTGATGACGGAGACTTGTGTTGCCTCCGAAACGTCGTTATTTTTATTATTTTATTTTTATTAATTTTTATTTTTTTTACCTACGTGACTTTACCGAAAAAACTAAGAGCATCTTTCGGTAAAGTCACGTAGAAGGGAAATAATAAAATTCAAAAAATAATAAAGCAGCCGTCTTCTTCACCTGAGGACGGCTGCTTGCGTTGTGGCCGAAACGTCGTGAAAATTGTATTTTATTATGTTTAATTTTTTATTATTTTATTATTTCCCTTCTACGTGACTTTACCGAAAAAACCAAGAAGATGAACGAACAATCATCATTATATAATAATAGGTTTTTACCCTTTAATCTGGTGTCAGTTTTGGTGGCAGATAAAAGGTTCAAAACCTATTACTATAGCTTGCTACTGGCAAAGGAGGTCTCCTAATGTCAATGCTTACCCCGAGCTCTCAATACCCTGATAGTGCGCTGTTTTTGAGTTTAACGCCTTTTGGCGTCATCTTGGTCCAACATCAGTGGAGACTAGGCTCTAAGAAAAGCCGTCTCGGGTGTGGACCAATCAACTTTCAAGGACAGTGCATATCATTATCATTATGAGAGTTGTTTCTTTTTGTTTGCATTTTGACCGCTTGTGTTGTGGTTATTGCAAACATGATCCCTTGTATATAGGTGTCAGTTTTGTTGCCAGATAAAAGGGTCAAAACCTATTACTGTATATTGCTACTGGCAAATGAGGTCTCATAATGTAAATCATCATCATAATAATAGCCACAAGTGCCGATGCAATAATGTGAGAAGTCGATTTCATTCCACGTCATTTTACTTTTTAGGGAGCCTTTTCAATTCCCCATTGATCTCTTCCGCCTTTGACATTTGTTTCCTATTTCCACTTTTCATTTCCCTCTTAAACTCGCAAACTCACGACCTCTCAATTTCCATGAAACGTGTCACGTGCCAATTCTTCCTGTTTCCGTGATTGTGACGTCGATCAAATCCACAGGCCCCCCTCGGATATAGAAACGCGCATTGAGATTCATTCGATTAATTTGGCCCTCTTATAAATGTCCAAACGACGGGGTCCACTTCGTTGAGCTGTCCTTTGTGGCCAGGTCGCTTCTAAAGATTCAGTTGATTCATCAGTGGGGCTTTGCCTGGTCGGATTGGGATGGTTTAGTGTTGTATTTGCTTGGGAGATTTGTTTAATTCCCGTGTACTTTGAACTCCCATCGCGTGTTTGTACCGCTTGTTGTTGTAACCTTCTTTCCACGTGGGCACATGGGTTCAACTCCTGGTATGTGTGTCTCTCCATATTTTAAGGGTCTGGGTTCAACTCCTGGTCTGGGTGTCTCTCCGTATATTGAGTGCCTGGGCTCAATCCCTGATTTTGGTATTTCTCTGAAAATTAATGGTTCCAGTTTCAGTTCCTGGTTTGGGTGTCTCAACTGGGATTAAGCATCTGGGTTCAATTCATTGGCTGGTTTTCTCTAGAGATTAACCGTCTGGATAAAATTCCTGGTCTGGGTGTCTCTCCGTATATTAAGTGCCTGGGCTCAATCCCTGATTTTGGTATTTCTCTGAAAATTAATGGTTCCAGTTTCAGTTCCTGGTTTGGGTGTCTCAACTGGGATTAAGCATCTGGGTTCAATTCATTGGCTGGTTTTCTCTAGAGATTAACCGTCTGGATAAAATTCCTGGTCTGGGTGTCTCTCCGTATATTAAGTGCCTGGGCTCAATCCCTGATTTTGGTATTTCTCTGAAAATTAATGGTTCCAGTTTCAGTTCCTGGTTTGGGTGTCTCAACTGGGATTCAGCATCTGGGTTCAATTCATTGGCTGGTTTTCTCTCCAAAGATTAACCGTCCATCTGGGTTAAATTTTTGGTCTGGGTTCTCTCTCCGTATGTTAAGGGTTCTGGGTCCAATTCCCGGTCTCAAAATGTCTCTGGAGATGAAGCGTCTAGTTTCAGTTCCCTGGTTCGGGTGTCTCCATATTTTAAGGGTCTGTGTTCAATTTGGGGCCGCGGTATTTTTCTGGAATTCAAGGGACTAGTTTCAGTTCCTGGTTCGGTGTCTCTCCAATGATTAAGGGTCTTGTGTTCAATCGCAGATCTGGGTGTCTGTGTACGAGTGCATGGGTCCCTAGGTCGACTCAGCCTCAAATAAGTACCCGTAGTGGTGTGTAAACATCGCCAAGTGTGGTGCTGGCCACCCACCCCCTCGTGTGCCGTTCCGGCCTTCATAGGTGCTCGCTAACAGCACTTGCCCCAGCAGCCTGTTAAGGCAATACGGGGGATCTTTATCTTTGTTCTCTGCATGCCTGTGTATTTTATCACGTGGTCGACTCAGCCTCAAGTTGAGCACCTGGTGCGGTGTGCCGCTAGGGAGGCAAAGGTGGCCAGGGGTGGAACGTGCACTGCTCACCCGTGCCGGTCTTCGCAGGTGCTCCTGGCTATCAGCCAGAGGTCGCAACCGGGTACCCGATACCCGTACCCTGCCCGATACCCGGCTACCCGTACCCGGCCGGGTACGGGTACCCGTTTGCGACCCTGGTGCGGCCGGCTACGGGTACGGGTAGGCCGTGAGTCACTGGTGAGTCACTGTTTGTCACTCATTTCGGGTAGGGTACGGGTACGGGTAGGGAACGGGTACCCGTACCCGGACGGGTACGGGTAGCCGTTTGCAACCCTGGTGCGGCCGGGTAGGGGTAGGCCGTGAGTCACTGGTGAGTCACCGTTTGTCACTCATTTCGGGTAGGGTACGGGTACGGGTAGGGAACGGATACCCTTACCCGGCCGGGTACGGGTACGGGTAGCCGTTTGCGACCCTGGTGCGGCCGGGTACGGGTACGGGTAGGCCGTGAGTCACTGGTGAGTCACCGTTTGTCACTCATTTCGGGTAGGGTACGGATACGGGTAGGGAACGGGTACCCGTACCCGGCCGGGTACGGGTACGGGTAGCCGTTTGCGACCCTGGTGCGGCCGGGTACGGGTAGGCCGTGAGTCACTGGTGAGTCACCGTTTGTCACTCATTTCGGGTAGGGTACGGGTAGGGGTAGGGAACGGGTACCCGTACCCGGCTGGGTACGGGTACCCGGCCGGGTACGGGTACGGGTAAGGAATCAAAACCCGTTTGCGACCTCTGCTAACAGCACTTGCCCCTAATAGCCTGTTCCTTGGGCTATACGGGTGACATACTCTTAGGTTTATTCGGTAAAGTCACGTAGGTAAAAATAAAAAAATATATAATAGAAATAAAAATAGAAATAAAGTAATAAATCACGACGTTTCGGAGGCAACACAAGTCTCCGTCATCAGGTGGGACCGTCACAGCCAGATTTACTGTCTTAAGTGATGAAAGAAATCCAAGAGGCGAGCCCTTAAATGCAAGTTAAGGGAGTGGGGGGGGAGGGGCTTGTCTGAATGTGGTAGCCAGGGGTATATGACCTGATGGTTATATTTTTTTAATTAATTTTCACCTACGTGACTTTACCGAAAAAACCTAAGAGTATGAATCCTTGCAGTCACGAAAGCTTCCAATCTAGAATTATACGGGTGACCTTTAACCCCCCGCCCCCCCCCCCCCCCGTGTGTCTTTGCCACGTGTCCTTGCACAGGCGTTCGGCTGCAGCACTGAAGTCATGCAGGCAGCGCTGGACAGCGTCAAGAATGCCAAGGTGAGGAAGGTGACCCCTCGCTTCATTGCCATCACTATTAGTTAGGGGGCCACGGTGGCTAGGAGATGTTAACTACCTCGCCCGGTACGCAGGAGGTCGTGGGTTTGATCCCGACCTTGACGCCTGCTATATTTTTGGAGTTTGCGTGTCTCTCTCATCATCATCATCACGGTGGCTAGGATATGTTAACTACCTCGCCTGGTACGCAGGAGGTCGTGGGTTCGATCCCTACCCTGATGCCTGCTGTATTTTTGGAGTTTGTGTGTCTCTCATCATCATCATCACGGTGGCTAGGAGATGTTAATAACCTCGCCTGGTACGCAGGAGGTCGTGGGTTCGATCCCTACCCTGATGCCTGCTGTATTTTTGGAGTTTGTGTGTCTCTCATCATCATCATCACGGTGGCTAGGAGATGTTAACTACCTCGCCCGGTACGCAGGAGGTCGTGGGTTCGATCCCGACCCTTGATGATGCCTGTTATATTTGGAGCTTACGTGCCTCCCATCATCATCATCATCACGGTGGCTAGGAGATAATAACTACCTCGCCTGGTGTACAGGAGGTCGTGGGTTCGATCACTACCCTGACGCCTGCTATATTTTTGGAGTTTGCGTGTCTCTCTCTCTCATCATCATCACGGTGGCTAGGAGATGTTAACTACCTCGCCTGGTAGACAGGAGGTCGTGGGTTCGATCCCTACCCTGACGCCTGCTATATTTTTGGAGTTTGCGTGTCTCTCTCTCTCATCATCATCACGGTGGCTAGGAGATGTTAACTACCTCGCCTGGTAGACAGGAGGTCGTGGGTTCGATCCCTACCCTGACGCCTGCTATATTTTTGGAGTTTGCGTGTCTCTTTCTCTCCCCTGTGGTTCGCGTGGATTTTTTTCTCCGGGTTCCTCCGGTTTCCCCCCGCCACTGTTATAAACGTGCGTTTAAGAGTCATTTGGCTGCTATGAATGTCCACATTGCGACATTGATGACGATGATGATGAGGAGCCACTTGGGCTGAGCTATCATTTGTGATGGGCCAGGTCGCTTCTGAAAACGAAATAGCTCAGTGGGGCCTTCCACCTGGAAAAATACAATTTTAAAAAGTGGCAATCATAGGAACGATCATCACAGCGAGTTGCCAATGCTGCGACATCGCCACCCAACTTGTCACGATGGGATTGACCTCTGACCCTGGTCCAACACCATGTGAGACTCGGCTCTAAGAAAAGCTGTCTCGGGTGTGGACCAATCAACTTCAAGGACAGTGCATATCATTATCATCATCAGAGTTGTTTCTTTTTGTTTGCATTTGACTGCTTGTGTTGTGGTTATTGTAAACATGATGCCTTGAATAAAGGTGTCAGTGTTTGTACCATTTGAAAGGGTAAAAACCTATTACTATATTTTGCCACTGGTAAAGGAAATGTCTCATAGTGTAAATGCTTACTCCGAGCTCTCAATACTCTGATAGTGCGCTGTGTTTGAGTTGTACGCCTTTTGGCGTCATCTGGTCCAACACCAATGGAGACTAGGCTCTAAGAAAAGCTGTCTCGGGTGTGGACCAATCAACTTCAAGGACAGTGCATATCGTTATCATCATCAGAGTTGTTTCTTTTTGTTTGCATTTGACTGCTTGTGTTGTGGTTATTGCAAACATGATGCCTTGTATAAAAGTTTTTGTACCAGTTTAAAGGGTAAAAACCTGCTACTACACATCAAGTGTTCATGCAAGTTACAGCCGTTTTGCCACTTCTCTGCTGGATTAAGGTCTTGACCTACACCGTGTCGGCCAAGGGTGGGGGTGAGCGTGGGGGGGGGGTGGGTTTGGATGCTTCACCATACTTCACCAGGCTGGTGAGTGCGCGTTGGTTGACGGTGGGCAGGACGGATTTCTGCAGAGATGGCTTCATAGCGCGGTGCGCTAACCGCTGCACCACCGCTCCCCGCACATACGCACACTAGAAAGAGATTCCTCAGCTTGTAGCCTGTAACAGACTGTAGGGGCAAGTGCTGTTAGCGAGCACCTATTAAAGGCCGGCGCGGCACACGAGGCGGTGTGTGGCCAACACCACGCCCGGCCGCCTTTGTCTCCCCAGTGGCGACGTTTACTACACACCGCAACAGGTACTAATTTGAGGCTGAGTCGACCTAGGGGAGGCCGACGACAGATTTAGAAGTTCGGAACACACGAGGGAGGGAGGTGGGTGCCCAACACCACCAACCACCACCGCCACTACCACCACCACGCCCGACCGTCTTTGTCTCCCCACCCCTCTCCCCTGCCCCCCAATCTCAGGCTCCAGTTTTCCAAGTGCGGCTGCTTCTGGGAGGGGCGACCGGGTTGCAGAACAAGAGCGTGGACGGTGAGGAAGTAGTGTGGTAGCTGTTAGCGCGTTACCGCTACCAACCCGGCGAGCCGAGTTTGATTCGCGCTCACGCCCACCTACACCGGTTTCAAGTTCAAGTTCGTTTATTAGGTGTAGCCCTGTGAGCCATTCGGCTCTTGAATCGGGTGCAACCGCAACAAACAAAAAACAAAAACACGAACAAGAAAACATCTTAAATTGAATATGCGACTGAGTGCAAACAGAAAATCCAAGAAAAGACAGCAAAATATTGCAGAAAAAGCACCGTACACAAAAATGTGCATGGCGGCCATTTTCTGAACACGGGCCTAGGCCTACTTGCCTAGGGTCGGCTTGGGACCTCCAATGAGTACCTTTGGTGTGCGTTGTGTTGTAAACATCGCTACTGGAGAGGCAAAGTTGGCCGGGCGTGGTGGTGCTGGCCACACACACCCTCGTGTGTGCCACTGTGCCGGCCTTCATAGGGTGATGCCACTCGCTACTAACAGCACTTGCCCCAACAGTCTGTTGGGGCTATACAGGGGATCTTTGTCTTTGTGTCTTTGTCTTCGTAGGCGCTACTCGCTATCCCAGCACTTGCCCCAACAGTCTGTTGAGGCTATACGGGGGATCTTTGTCTTTGTGTTTGTCTTGGGAGGTGCTACTCGCTACTAACAGCACTTGCCCCAACAGTCTGTTGAGGCTATACGGGGGATCTTTGTCTTTGTGTCTTTGTCTTGGGAAGTGCTACTCGCTACTAACAGCACTTGCCCCAACAGTCTGCTGAGGCTATACGGGAGATCTTTGTCTTTGTGTCTATGTCTTTGGGAGGTGCTACTCGCTACTAACAGCACTTGCCCCAACAGTCTGTTGAGGCTATACGGGGGATCTTTGTCTTTGTGTCTATGTCTTCGTAGGCGCTACTCGCTACTAACAGCACTTGCCCGGACGGTCTGTTGAGGCTATACGGGGATCTTTGTCTTTGTGTTTATGTCTTCGTAGGCGCTACTCGCTACCCCAGCACTTGCCCCAACAGTCTGTTGAGGCTATACGGGGGATCTTTGTCTTTGTGTCTATGTCTTAGGAGGTGCTACTCGCTACTAACAGCACTTGCACCGACGGTCTGTTGAGGCTATACGGGGGATCTTTGTCTTTGTGTCTATGTCTTTGGGAGGTGCTACTCACTACTAACAGCACTTGCACCGACGGTCTGCTGAGGCTATACGGGGGATCTTTGTCTTTGTGTCTATGTGTCCTCCGTACCACCCTCGCTAACCCCACGAACCCCCTTTTTCCGCGTCATCTTTCCGCTCGCCTGGCCCTCCAGTTAGGGGAAGCTGCCGATTTTTGAAGCGTAAACAGGAACATCGTCAAAAACAACAAAAAACTTTCGTTGTTTGGGAGGTATTTTAAGGCAACTGGGTCGTCGCCGTTTTATCGGACGACTCGTTTTGCCGACGAATCTCGGATCTACGATTTTTTTTATATATTTGATCATTTTCCGGGCCCCCCCCCGGATTTCAAAGTATGGCTTTCTCAATTTGTCCTCCCCCGTCGATGGATCGGTGGGAAAACAAGAGATTCACAGCTCATCGGATTTCTCCCTCCAGTGCAAATAAACATTCTGATCCTGATCTGGACCCTGGTCACTCTTCACCGTCGGGGTTCGTAACACGGCTGTCCCCAAAGTGATCGTCCGTGCGGCGATGCCACCCAGACAATGTATCATATCATGAACCTATAGAGACACACGGAGATACACAGAGACTCATTGAGACACGTGGAGATACATACACCCTCATAGAGACACGTGGAGATACATATACACTCATAGACACATGGAGATAGATACAGACTCATAGAGACACATAGAGACACACAGAGATGCACAGAGGTACACAGAGACTCATTGAGACACGTGGAGATACATACACACTCATAGACACATGGAGATACATACAGACATGGAGATACATACAGACCCATAGAGACACATAGAGACACACAGAGATACACAGAGGTACACAGAGACTCATAGAGACACATGGAGATACATACACACTCATAGAGACACGTGGAGATACGTACAGACTCATTGAGACACGTGGAGATACATATACACTCATAGACACGTCGAGATAGATACATACTGATAGAGACACGTGGAGATACATACCTGACTCGTAGAGACACGTGGAGATACATACACACTCATAGAGACACATCGAGATATATATACACTCGTGCTGGCTCGGGTGTGGCAGTGGAAACACCATCAGGACCGTGAGAGCCTCGAGCTGGCTCGGGTGTGGTGGTGGAAAAAGGGTACCAAGTTGTTTCTCACTGACCCCCCACCCACCCCCCCCCCACCCCCTGCCTCCCCCCAACCCCCCACCCCCTGCCCCCCCCCACCCCCCACCCGCCCCCCACCCCCTGCCCCCCCCATATCGCCCGCAGGCCCCAGCCGCCCCTACTTGACGCTGTGCCTGGGGGGGCAGGCGGAGGCGAGTGACGCGGGCGGCCTGCAGCGGAGCGCCGTCAGGGAAGGTCCCCAACCCACGTGGAACCAGAACTTCATCGTGTACGCAGCAGCAGCCCCCCCCCCTAGCTACACACTTACCCTGCACCCCCCCCCCTCTCTAGCCACATACTTAGCCTGCACCTCCCCCCCCCTAGCCACACACTTGCCCTGCACCCCCCCCCCCACGACACCACCAACCCCCCTCCCCACACTTCTCCTGCCCCCCCCCCGACACCACCAACCCCTTCCCCCCCCCCGCCCCCGACACCGGGTATCACGATGACCTCTTGAACTTTCGCTAGGGGTGCCTTGCAGCGGTGGTGAGATGTTAACTACCTCGCCTGGTTTGCAGAAGGTCGTGCGTTTCGTATGTGAGTCTCTTGGTCTCTATGTGAGTGTACAGGTCTCTGTGTGAGTCTTTGGGTTTCTATGTGGGTCTATGGGTCTCTGTGTGAGTCTATGGGTCTCTGTGTGAGTCTATGGGTCTCTGTGTGAGTCTATGGGTCTTTGTGTGAGTCTATGAGTCTCTGTGTGAGTCTATGGGTCTCTGTGTGAGGCTATCGTTCTCTGTGTGAGTCTATGGGTCTCTGTGTGAGTCTATGGGTCTCTGTGTGAGTCTATGGGTCTCTATGCGAGTGTATGGGTCTCTGTGTGAGTCTATGGGTCTTTGTGTGAGTCTATGGGTCTCTGTGTGAGTCTATGGGTCTCTGTGTGAGTCTATGGGTCTCTATGCGAGTGTATGGGTCTCTGTGTGAGTCTATGGGTCTCTGTGTGAGGCTATCGTTCTCTGTGTGAGTCTATGGGTCTCTGTGTGAGTCTATGGGTCTCTGTGTGAGTCTATGGGTCTCTATGCGAGTGTATGGGTCTCTGTGTGAGTCTATGGGTCTCTGTGTGAGTCTATGGGTCTCTGTGTGAGTCTATGTGTCTCTGTGTGAGTCTATGGGTCTCTGTGTGAGTCTATGGGTCTCTGTGTGAGTCTATGTGTCTCTGTGTGAGTCTATTGGTCTCTGTGTGAGTTTATGGGTCTCTGTGTGAGACTATGGGTCTCTGTGTGAGTTTATGTGTCTCTGTGTGAGTCTATGGGTATCTGTGTGAGTCTATGGGTCTCTGTGTGAGTCTATGGGTCTCTGTGTGAGTCTATGGGTCTCTGTGTGAGTCTATGAGTCTCTGTGTGAGTCTATGTGTCTCTGTGTGAGTCTATGAGTCTCTGTGTGAGTCTATGGGTATCTGTGTGAGTCTATGGGTCTCTGTGTGAGTCTATGGGTCTCTATGTGAGTCTATGGGTCTCTGTGTGAGTCAATGGGTCTCTGTGTGAGTCTATGGGTATCTATGTGAGTCTATGGGTCTCTATGTCAGAAGATCTTTAGACGCATTTTGCGTTCAATCAGATGCTAGATGAACCTACCTTGTATTGCATTGCACGGTGACCTATTGACCTTGACCTCCCCTCTCTTCCTACTGCCAGTGACCTGGGGAATTCTGACAGCCAGTCGTTGGTGCTGAACGTATGGTGAGTGAGCAGTCTATCGATCCTCTATCACCTGGGTACAGGTAGAATCATCTACTAACATCGATTTTTCTATCACCTTGATAGAGGTGACAGAGACACGCAGATTCATCTACTAACATCGATCTTACATCACCTGGGTAAAGGTGACAGAGACACGTAGATTCATCTACTAACATCGATCTTACATCACCTGGGTAGAGGTGACAGAGACACGCAGATTCATCTACTAACATCGATCTTACATCACCTGGGTAGAGGTGACAGAGACACGTAGATTCATCTACTATCATCGATCTTACATCACGTGGGTAGAGGTGACAGAGACACGCAGATTCATCTACTAACATCGATTTTCCATCACCTGGGTAGAGGTGACAGAGACACGCAGATTCATCTACTAACATCGATCTTACATCACCTGGGTAGAGGTGACAGAGACACGTAGATTCATCTACTAACATCGATCTTACATCACGTGAGTAGAGGTGACAGAGACACGCAGATTCATCTACTAACATCGATCTTACATCACCTTGGTAGAGATGACAGAGACACGCAGATGCATCTACTAACATCGATCTTACATCACCTTGGTATAGGTGACAGAGACACGCAGATTCATCTACTAACATCGATCTTACATCACCTTGGTAGAGATGACAGAGACACGCAGATTCATCTACTAACATCGATCTTACATCACCTGGGTAGAGGTAACAGAGACACGTAGATTCATCTACTAACATCGATCTTACATCACCTGGGTAGAGGTGACAGAGACACGCAGATTCATCTACTAACATCGATCTTACATCACCTGGGTAGAGGTGACAGAGACACGCAGATTCATCTACTAACATCGATCTTACATCACCTGGGTAGAGGTGACAGAGACACGTAGATTCATCTACTATCATCGATCTTACATCACGTGGGTAGAGGTGACAGAGACACGCAGATTCATCTACTAACATCGATTTTCCATCACCTGGGTAGAGGTGACAGAGACACGCAGATTCATCTACTAACATCGATCTTACATCACCTGGGTAGAGGTGACAGAGACACGTAGATTCATCTACTAACATCGATCTTACATCACGTGAGTAGAGGTGACAGAGACACGCAGATTCATCTACTAACATCGATCTTACATCACCTTGGTAGAGATGACAGAGACACGCAGATGCATCTACTAACATCGATCTTACATCACCTGGGTAGAGGTGACAGAGACACGTAGATTCATCTACTATCATCGATCTTACATCACGTGGGTAGAGGTGACAGAGACACGCAGATTCATCTACTAACATCGATTTTCCATCACCTGGGTAGAGGTGACAGAGACACGCAGATTCATCTACTAACATCGATCTTACATCACCTGGGTAGAGGTGACAGAGACACGTAGATTCATCTACTAACATCGATCTTACATCACGTGAGTAGAGGTGACAGAGACACGCAGATTCATCTACTAACATCGATCTTACATCACCTTGGTAGAGATGACAGAGACACGCAGATGCATCTACTAACATCGATCTTACATCACCTTGGTATAGGTGACAGAGACACGCAGATTCATCTACTAACATCGATCTTACATCACCTTGGTAGAGATGACAGAGACACGCAGATTCATCTACTAACATCGATCTTACATCACCTGGGTAGAGGTAACAGAGACACGTAGATTCATCTACTAACATCGATCTTACATCACCTGGGTAGAGGTGACAGAGACACGCAGATTAATCTACTAACATCGATCTTACATCACCTGGGTAGAGGTGACAGAGACACGCAGATTCATCTACTAACATCGATTATCTATCACTGGGTAGAGGTGACAGAGACACGCAGATTCATCTACTAACATCGATTATTCTATCACCGTGGTAGAGGTGACAGAGACACGCAGATTAATCTACTAACATCGATTGTCTATCACTGGGTAGAGGTGACAGAGACACGCAGATTCATCTACTAACATCGATTCTCGATCAATTGGGTAGAGGTGACAGAGACGCGCAGATTCATCTACTATCATCGATTATTCTATCATTTTGATAGAGGTGACAGAGACGCGCAGATTCATCTACTATCATCGATTATTCTATCATTTTGATAGAGGTGACAGAGACACGCAGATTCATCTACTAACGTCGATTATCTATCATCTTGGTAGAGGTGACAGAGACACGTAGATTCATCTACTAACATCGATCTTACATCACCTTGGTAGAGGTGACAGAGACACGTAGATTCATCTACTAACATCGATCTTTCTATCATCTTGGTAGAGGTGACAGAGACACGTAGATTCATCTACTAACATCGATCTTACATCACCTTGGTAGAGGTGATAGAGACACACAGATTCATCTACTAACATCGATCTTACATCACCTGTGTAGAGGTGACAGAGACACGCAGATTCATCTACTAACATCTATTATTCTATCACTGGGTAGAGGTGACAGAGACACGTAGATTCATCTACTATCATCGATTTTACATCACCTTGGTAGAGGTGACAGAGACACGCAGATTCATCTACTGACATCGATTTTCCATCACCTGGGTAGAGATGACAGAGACACGTAGATTCATCTACTAACATCGATCTTACATCACCTGGGTAGAGGTGACAGAGACACGCAGATTCATCTACTAACATCGATTATACTATCACCTGTGTAGAGGTGACAGAGACACGCAGATGCATCTACTAACATCGATCTTACATCACCTTGGTAGAGGTGACAGAGACACGCAGATTCATCTACTAACATCGATCTTACATCACCTGGGTAGAGGTGACAGAGACACGCAGATTCATCTACTAACATCGATCTTGCATCACCTGGGTAGAGGTGACAGAGACACGCAGATTCATCTACTAACATCGATCTTACATCATCTTGGTAGAGGTGACAGAGACACGCAGATTCATCTACTAACATCGATCTTACATCACCTGGGTAGAGGTGACAGAGACACACAGATTCATCTACTAACATCGATCTTACATCATCTTGGTAGAGGTGACAGAGACACGCAGATTAATCTACTAACATCGATCCTCTATCACCTGGGTACAGGTAGATTCATCTACTATCATTGATCCTCTATCACCTGGGCACAGGTAGATTCATCTACTATCATCGATCTTACATCACCTGGGTAGAGGTAGATTCATCTACTATCATCGATTATTCTATCATCTTGGTAGAGGTTGCAGAGACACGCAGATTCATCTACTAACATCGATCCTCTATCACCTGGGCACAAGTAGATTCATCTACTATCATTGATCCTCTATCACCTGGGCACAGGTAGATTCATCTACTATCATCGATTATTCTATCATCTTGGTAGAGGTGACAGAGACACGCAGATTAATCTACTAACATCGATCTTACATCACCTGTTTAGGGGAGGAGAAGCATGTTGAGGTGCAGAGTGGAGGATGAGGGTAATGAGGTGCAGAGTGGAGGTGGTGTCAGGGGGTGACTTCTGTGTGGCCACGTGGCCCCCACTCACGTCACCCTCATGCCCACTGCGTGCCCCCCAGGAACCAGCAAAGTGGAAACTCTCTCGTGCGCATGCTGACCAAGCTGAGCAGCGCAAGGCGCCTTCATCGGTGAGAGGGCATCTGCAGAATATGCACACGCACACACAGTCACACACACTCTCTCGTGCGCATGCTGACCAAGCTGAGCAGCGCAAGGCGTCTTCATCGGTGAGAGATCATCTGCAGAATATGCACACGCACACACAGTCACACACACACAGTCACACACACTCTCTCGTGCGCATGCTGACCAAGCTGAGCAGCGCAAGGCGCCTTCATCGGTGAGAGGGCATCTGCAGAACACTCACACACAGTCACACACACAGTCACACACACACAGTCACACACACAGTCACACACACAGTCACACACACAGTCACACACACTCTCTCGTGCGCATGCTGACCAAGCTGAGCAGCGCAAGGCGCCTTCATCGGTGAGAGATCATCTGCAGAACACTCACACACAGTCACACACACACTCTCTCGTGCGCATGCTGACCAAGCTGAGCAGCGCAAGGCGTCTCCACCGGTGAGAGAGCATCTGCAGAATATGCACACGCACACACAGTCACACACACTCTCTCGTGCGCATGCTGACCAAGCTGAGCAGCGCAAGGCGTCTCCACCGGTGAGAGAGCATCTGCAGAATATGCACACGCACACACAGTCACACACACTCTCTCGTGCGCATGCTGACCAAGCTGAGCAGCGCAAGGCGTCTCCACCGGTGAGAGAGCATCTGCAGAATATGCACACGCACACACAGTCACACACACTCTCTCGTGCGCATGCTGACCAAGCTGAGCAGCGCAAGGCGTCTTCATCGGTGAGAGAGCATCTGCAGAATATGCACACGCACACACAGTCACACACACTCTCTCGTGCGCATGCTGACCAAGCTGAGCAGCGCAAGGCGTCTTCATCGGTGAGAGAGCATCTGCAGAATATGCACACGCACACACAGTCACACACACTCTCTCTCGTGCGCATGCTGACCAAGCTGAGCAGCGCAAGGCGTCTCCACCGGTGAGAGAGCATCTGCAGAATATGCACACGCACACACAGTCACACACACTCTCTCGTGCGCATGCTGACCAAGCTGAGCAGCGCAAGGCGCCTTCATCGGTGAGAGAGCATCTGCAGAACACTCACACACAGTCACACACACACACTCTCGTGCGCATGCTGACCAAGCTGAGCAGCGCAAGGCGCCTTCATCGGTGAGAGATCATCTGCAGAACACTCACACACAGTCACACACACACTCTCTCGTGCGCATGCTGACCAAGCTGAGCAGCGCAAGGCGTCTCCACCGGTGAGAGAGCATCTGCAGAATATGCACACGCACACACAGTCACACACACTCTCTCGTGCGCATGCTGACCAAGCTGAGCAGCGCAAGGCGTCTTCATTGGTGAGAGAGCATCTGCAGAATATGCACACGCACACACAGTCACACACACTCTCTCGTGCGCATGCTGACCAAGCTGAGCAGCGCAAGGCGCCTTCATCGGTGAGAGAGCATCTGCAGAACACTCACACACAGTCACACACACACTCTCTCGTGCGCATGCTGACCAAGCTGAGCAGCGCAAGGCGCCTTCATCGGTGAGAGATCATCTGCAGAACACTCACACACAGTCACACACACTCTCTCGTGCGCATGCTGACCAAGCTGAGCAGCGCAAGGCGTCTTCATTGGTGAGAGGGCATCTGCAGAATGTGCATACGCACAGTCACACACACACAGTCACACACACACACAGTCACACACACACAGAGTCACACACACAGTCACACACACACACAGTCACACACACACAGAGTCACACACACAGTCACACACACACACAGTGACACACACACACAGTGACACACACAGTGACACACACACACAGTGACACACACACACAGACACGCACACACACAGTGACACACACACACAGTGACACACACAGTGACACACACACACAGTGACACACACACACAGACACACACACACAGTGACACACACACACAGACACGCACACACACAGTCACACACACACACAGTCTCATACACACACGTGACCCCCCCCCCACCACGTGCACCCCCCCACCAAGTGTCCCCCCCACCACGTGACCCCCCCCCCCACCACGTGCCCCCCCCACCACGTGACCCCCCCCCCACCACGTGCCCCCCCCCCCACCACGTGCCCCCCCCACCACGTGCCCCCCCCACCACGTGACCCCCCCCCCACCACGTGACCCCCCCCCACCACGTGCCCCCCTCACCACGTGACCTCCCCCCCCACCACGTGACCCCCCCCCCCACCACGTGTGCCCCCCAGGTGGGTGAAGCAGGCTGTGAAGCGTCTCCGGGAGGACCGCACGGCCGGCAAGCTGTCGCGTCGCGACGACTTCCTGGGCCAAGTGTCGCTCCCTCTGCAGGTGAGAGCACGGTCAACAATAACAACAACAACAATAACAACAATGTCAACAACAACAATAACAACAACAACAATCTCAACAACAATAACAACAATGTCAACAACAACAACAACAACAACAATCTCAACAATAACAACAACAATAACAACAACAACAATAACAACAACAATAACAACAATAACAACAATGTCAACAACAACAATAACAACAACAACAACGATCTCAACAACAACAATAACAACAACAATAACAACAACAACAATAACAACAACAATAACAACAATGTCAACAACAACAATAACAACAACAACAATCTCAACAACAACAATAACAACAACAATAACAACAACAACAATCTCAACAACAACAATAATCTCAACAACAACCTTAACAACAACAACAACAGCAAACTTCTCCTTGGTTCTTTCGGTAAAGTCACATAGAATGGAAATAATAAAATAATAAAACATTCAATAATTCTCACGACGTTTCGGCCACAACGCAAGCAGCCGTCCTCAGGTGAAGAAAAGATCTGTCAGACGCTGTCTTTCCGACAGACCTGTTCTTCACCTGAGGACGGCTGCTTGCGTTGTGGCCGAAACGTCATGAGAACAATTTAATAATGTTTTATTTTTATTATTTTATTATGTTTTATTTTTATTATTTTATTATTTCCCTCCTACGTGACTTTACCGAAAGAACCAAGAAGATGAATCCCTGCAGTCACGAAAGCTTTACATCGAAACAAAAACTTTACCAACGATCCCATCCCCACGTCCACAAATGTCCTTGTCTTCCCAATTTCCCTGTCTCTACTAAATTCCCCTTCTACCCGTGACCCCCGTGACCCCCTCCCCCCCATGACCCCTCCCCCATGACCCCCCCTCCCCATGACCCCCCCCCACCCCCCCACCCCCCACCGTGTCGTCTCCACGTGCCAGGATCTGCCTCTGCAGTCCCAGGAGTTGTGGCTGAAGCTGGAGCCACGCTCGGACCGCTCGCTCGTGAGCGGAGAGGTCAGCGTCTCCGTGTCCTTCATCACCAGCCGGGTACTGCAACCCCCCCCTGACCCCTCACCCCTCGCCCCCCCCCCCCCCCCCGCTGCCCAAACACTCCGGTCACTCACTGAGTCGCTCGCCCAGCAGCGGTCAGTCGCCTCCTCGTGGCTCTTCTATAGCTACGGCCGCGGGCACGGTACCGCGACAGATTGACCGTCGTGAATCTGTCGCTTGAAGATTCCTCCGGCCGCTATGGGAACTCTCGTCTCGCACGCACCACCCGCCAAGCCAACACGCTGTAAAGTCACGTAGAATGGAAATAATAAAATAATAAAAATAAAACATAATAAAATAATTTTAAAGCTTTCGTGACTGCAGGGATTCATCTTCTTGGTTCTTTCGGTAAAGTCACGTAGAATGGAAATAATAAAATAATAAAAATAAAACATAATAAAATACAATTCTCACAACGTTTCGGCCACAACGCAAGCAGCCGTCCTCAGGTGGAGAGCAGGTCTGTCGAGTAGACAGCGTCTGAATGACATTTAGACTCAGCATTATTGACTGCAGGGATTAATCTTCTTGGTTCTTTCGGTAAAGTCACGTAGAATGGAAATAATAAAATAATAATCTGAATGTCATTCAGACTCTGTCTACTCGACAGACCTGTTCTCCACCTGAGGACGGCTGCTTACGTTGTGGCCTAAACGTCGTGAGAATTATTTTGTATTATGTTTTATTTTTATTATTTTATTATTTCCCTTCTACGTGACTTTACCGAAAGAACCAAGAAGATGAATTTTGCGGTTCATTCGCGGCGAGCACTGGACTCTTGCGTGCGATGAGCGCGACCATCCGGAGCTCACACAGCGCGTGACCTCAACAGGCAGTGCCGAGGTGCACGGCCGGTGATCAGGCATCCGCTATGCGTCACCCGGGGGGAGGTCTGTGTTTGGCTGTTATTTGGTTTAAATTGCCTCCTAATCGTTGGCAAATTGGTTCTTCGTGCGCTGTCCGCGTTTGCCCTCGGAGGCGAAGAACAAGCCGGCGGGCTGCAGTCCCATTAGCACTTGACCGTCGGGTCTGAGTTAAATGTGCTCCCGGCTGTTTAAGGGTTGTGTGTGTATGTATATACAGATAAGAGTGCTGTTTGTCGCTGGCCGCTTGATGCCCTGGGCCTTTTGGGGATGTGAACGAGGAGGAGATCCGTGTTCCACTGGCCTCAACGTTCTTGTTGTTGGAACTTTGGGGTTCAGCAACAACAAGGGGTTCCTCGGTGGCTAGGAGATGTTAACTACCTCTCCTGGTGTACAGGAGGTCGTGGGTTCGATCCTGTATATTTGGAGTCTGCGTGTCTCTCTCTCATCATCATCACGGTGGCTAGGAGATGTTAACTATCTCGCCTTACAGGCGGTCGTGGGTTCGATCCTGACCCTGACGCCTGCTGTATATTTGGAGTCTGCGTGTCTCTCTCTCTCATCATCATCACGGTGGCTAGGAGATGTTAACTACCTCGCCTGGTATACAGGAGGTCGTGGGTTCGATCCCAACCCAGACGACGCCTGCTGCTGTATATTTGGAGTTTGCGTGTCTCTCTCTCTCTGATCACCATCACGGTGGCTAGGAGATGTTAACTCCCTCGATTGGTATGCAGGAGGTCGTAGTGTAGTGTATAGTGTAGTGTATAGTAGTGTCGTGTATAGTGTAGTGTAAAGTAGTGTAGCGTATAGTAGTGTAGTGTATAATAGAGTAGTGTATTGTGTAGTGTTTAGTTGTGTAGTGTATAGTGTAATGTATAGTAGTGTAGTGTTTAGTTGTGTAGTGTATAGTGTAGTGTATAGTAGTGTAGTGTATAGTAGTGTAGTGTATAGTAGTGTAGTGTATAGTAGTGTAGTGTATAGTGTAGAGTATAGTAGTGTCGTGTATAGTGTAGTGTATAGTGTAGTGTATAGTAGTGTAGTGTATAGTGTAATGTATAGTGTAGTGTATAGTGTAGTGTAAAGTAGTGTAGTGTATAGTGTAGTGTATAGTGTAGTGTACAGCAGTGTAGTGTATAGTGTCATGTATAGTGTAGTGTAGTGTACAGCAGTGTACTGTATAGTATAGTGTGTAGTGTAGTGTATAGTAGTGTAGTGTATAGTAGTGTAGTGTATAGTAGTGTAGTGTATAGTAGTGTAGTGTATAGTAGTGCAGTGTATAGTAGTGTAGTGTATAGTGTAGTGTATAGCAGTGTAGTGTATAGTGTGATGTACAGCAGTGTAGTATATAGTGTAGTGTATAGTAGTGTAGTGTATAGTAGTGTAGTGTATAGTGTAGTGTATAGTAGTGTAGTGTATAGTGTGTAGTGTACAGCAGTGTAGTGTATAGTGTGTAGTGTACAGCAGTGTAGTGTATAGTGTACAGCAGTGTAGTGTATAGTGTAGTGTATAGTAGTGTAGTGTATAGTGTAGTGTAGTGTTTACTAGTGTATAGTGTAGTGTATAGTGTAGTGTATAGTGTAGTGTATAGTGTAGTGTACAGCAGTGTAGTGTATAGTGTAGTGTATAGTGTATAGTAGTGTCGTGTATAGTGTGATGTATAGTACTGTAGTGTATAGTGTAGTGTATAGTGTAGTGTACAGCAGTGTAGTGTATAGTGTAGTGTACAGCAGTGTAGTGTATAGTGTAGTGTACAGCAGTGTAGTGTATAGTTTGTAGTGTACAGTAGTGTATAGTGTGTAGTGTACAGCAGTGTAGTATATAGTGTAATGTATAGTACTGTAGTGTATAGTGTAGTGTATAGTAGTGCAGTAGTGTATAGTGTAGTGTACAGCAGTGTAGTATATAGTGTAGTGTATAGTGTAGTATATAGTGTAGTGTATAGTGTAATCTATAGTAGTGTAGTGTATAGTGTAGTGTATAGTGTAGTGTGTAGTGTACAGCAGTGTAGTGTATAGTGTAGTGTATAGCAGTGTAGTGTATAGTGTAGTGTATAGTGTAGTGTATAGTGTAGTATACAGCAGTGTAGTGTATAGTAGTGTAGTGTATAGTGTAGTGTATAGTGTAGTGTACAGCAGTGTAGTGTATAGTGTAGTGTACAGCAATGTAGTATATAGCGTAGTCTACATGCTATAAACCATCAATCCCTTCTCTCCCGCCCGCCCCCCTCCGTCTGTGTCGCTGGCGCAGCGAGACACACCGCTGTCCGCCCAGGGGGTGTCCAAGGTGGACGTGTTCGAGAAACTTCTCGGCATCTTCGTCGAGTACGAGCACAGGACGGTGGTGAGTGTGACAGCGTGACCAGCTGACGCTCATCCTGGCCGTGACCCCCACCCCTCCCCCCTGCCCCCCTGCCCCCCAACGACTGCCCTGCCTGCCCCCCCCTCTGATGTTGTCGAGAGTTTCAGATGTTCGGGCTCCGTGCTCTGCTCGTGGTGCACAGCGGAGGGTGGATGGATGTCGAGGGCTAGGTGCAGTTCACGTGGTGTGTGTGTGTGCTGTGTGATGTGTGTGTGTGATGTGTGGGTGATGTGTGTGTGTGCTGTGTGGTGTGTGTGCCGTGTGTGTGCTGTGTGTGATGTGTGTGCCGTGTGTGTGCTGTGTGTGTGTGTGTGTGCTGTGTGTGTGCCGTGTTTGTGGTGTGTGTGTGCCGTGTTTGATGTTTGCTGTGTGTGTGTGATGTGTGTGTTTGTGTGCCGTGTTTGATGTTTGCTGTGTGTGTGCTGTGGTGTGTGCTGTGGTGTGTGCTGTGTGTGTGCTGTGTGTGTGCTGTGGTGTGTGCTGTGTGTGTGTGATGTGTGTGTGTGCTGTGTGTGTGTGCTGTGTGTGTGTGTGTGTGCTGTGTGTGTGTGCTGTGTGTGTGATGTGTGTGATGTGTGTACCGTGTGTGTGTGGTGTGTGTGTGCCGTGTTTGATGTATGCTGTGTGTGTGCTGTGTGTGTGCTGTGGTGTATGCTGTGTGTGTGTTGTGCGCGTGATGTGCGCGTGATGTGTGTGATGTGTGTACCGTGTGTGTGTGATGTGGGTGTGTGTGCCGTGTTTGATGTATGCTGTGTGTGTGCTGTATGTGTGCTGTGTATGATGTGTGCTGTATGTGTGCTGTGTGTGTGATGCGTGCTGTGTGTGTGCTGTGTGTGATGTGTGCTATGTGTGTGCTGTGTGTGTGCTGTGTGTGTGCTGTATGTGTGCTGTGTATGATGTGTGCTGTGTGTGATGTGTGATGTGTGTGCTGTGTGTGTGCTGTGTGTGATGTGTGCTATGTGTGTGCTGTGTGTGTGTGTGTGCTGTTTGCTGTGTGTGCTGTGCAGGCTGGGGGTTGGCTGTGTGTGCTGTGTGCTGTGTATGATGTGTGCTGTGTATGATGTGTGCTGTGTATGATGTGTGCTGTGTGTGTTGTGTGTGTGCTGTGTGTGTGCTGTGTGTGTGTGTGCTGTGCAGGCTGGGGGTTGGCTGTCGGGGCTGTCCACAGACGCGATGCGGCTCCTGTCGCTCTACACCTCTCAGAGCGACGTTTCTCCCTTCCAGCAGAGCATCACGTGAGCTCTGAGTGTTTGAGTGGGTGGGTGAGTGGTTGATTGTGTGGGTGAGTGGGTGGGTGATTGAGTGGGTGGACGGGTGAGTGGGTGGGTGAGTGGTTGAGTGGGTTGGTGGGTGAGTGGGTGAGTGGGTGGGTAAGTGGGTGGGTGAGGTGAGTGGGTGGGTGGGTGAGTGGGTGGGTGAGTGGGTGGGTGGGTTAGTGGGTGGGTGGGTAAGTGAGTGGGTAGGTGGGTGAGTGAGTGAGTGGGTGGCGGGTGAGTGGGTGGGTGGATGAGTGGCTGAGTGGGTGGGTGAGTGGGTGGCTGGTTGAGTGGGTGGGTGGGTGAGTGGTTGAGTGGGTGGGTGGGTAAGTGGGTGGGTGAGTCGGTGGGTGAGTGGGTGAGTGGGTAGGTGGGTGAGTGAGTGAATGGGTGAGTGGGCGGATGAGTGGGTGGGTGGGTGAATGGGTGGGTGAGTGGGTGGGTGGGTGGGTGGGTGGGTGGGTGGGTGAGTGGGTGGCTGGTTGAGTGAGTGGGTGGTTGGCTGGTTGAGTGAGTGGGTGGGTGAGTGAGTGAGTGGGTGAGTGAGTGGGTGGGTGGGTGAGTGGGTGGGTGAGTGGGTGGGTGGGTTAGTGGGTGGGTGGGTAAGTGAGTGGGTAGGTGGGTGAGTGAGTGAGTGGGTGGGTGGGCGGGTGAGTGGGTGGGTGGGTGGGTGAGTGGGTGGGTGAGTGGGTGACTGGTTGAGTGAGTGGCTGGTTGAGTGAGTGGGTGGGTGAGTGAGTGGGTGAGTGAGTGGCTGGGTGAGTGGGTGGGTGAGTGGGTGGCTGGTTGAATGAGTGGGTGGGTGGCCGTCCCGTCTTAATTTGTGGGCGCCACGGTGGCTAGCAAATGTTGACTACCTCGCCTGGTGTACAGGAGGCCGTGGGTTCTATCCCCGGGGTGAGTGATGTCTCTTGCGATGTCACCGCCAGCGTGTGGCTGAAGTACGCAAGGATGCACGGCTGCGGGAGACGCGTGGAGTTCCGCATCCTGGAAGCCGCTCTGCTCGACATGGAGAAGGACTGGGACGCACAGAAAGCCTACGAGCGCGTGAGTGGGTGGATGGGTGAGCGGGTGGGTAGGGGAGTTGGTGGGTGGGTGAGTGGCTGGGTGGGTGGGTAGGTGGGTGGGTGGGTGAGTGGGTGGATGGTTGAGTGAGTGGGAGGGGGGGTGGGCAGGCGAGTGATTGAGTGGGTTTGTGGGTGAGTGAGTGAGTTAGTGGGTG